TATATATATGTATGTATACACACATCTACACATGTACCTACCTACATCTGTTATGTACATACTTACATATGTATATGTTTAGTATACGATAGATGTCATGTCTATGCACACACGTGTACATGTAGGCCCTGTAGGCACCATCCGGCACAGCACAATACAGCAAACTACGAGACGACACCACACCCTACACGACTTTGCATTACGTTACGTGACAATGTGTACATACTATACATACGATGCATACAGCTACATCATGTTACATACATGCAGATGCCGGCTTTATGGGCTGAGGACCTGCTAGCTGAAGAAGGGCGGGAATCGGCTTCTCAGGGCGGCTCGTCGGTCCACCAGCTCAGGCCACACTTCTCGCACTGCACGACCAGGCGAGCCTGGAGTGGCTGCCACGTGGAAGGTGCTGGCAGAACCGAGAGCCTCTGAGAGTCTAAGAAACCAGGCACGACAATCGAGCAATCTTCTTCACGAGCAGCGTCACTAGCAGCAGCAGCAGAAGCATCGCCCTTTCTATGACTGACACGTCAGAACGGCAGGAGCCCGACGTAACGCACCTGCACCTGACTCTCGCAAAACCGTAAAGGGCATTGGAAGGGCCGGGAGACGTAGTCCGTGCCACCCAGCCCTGCAGTCTTGCCCAGCTTGTGGTGTCCGCCGACCTTTCAGTGTCAAAGTCGTCGGACTTTTTTTGGGCATTTAAGGCACCCGGGGGCATGCTGCTCTGCTGAGGGCTTCCGGAATTTGCGGGCATGCACTGAAGCATCGGGAAGTCAGAAGTCAGGAATCCGAGTGTTGCAGGTGGGAAAATGCAAGAGTCGTGAAGATGCCATCATGAGCTGGGCAGCAAGCATGGGGGATGCGGTCGTAGCGGACGCCCCAGTTGCTGCAGCCCTGGTTGGCTGTGCTGACGATTTTTCGGAGGGTTTTTTTCATCATCCCTTTGTCTTGGTGCAGCTCGAAGCTGGGACTCACGGCAAGCTTGCACTCGCATGACGCTGCTGCAGGCAGATCGAGCCATGTTCCACTGCACTTGCCCTGAGAGAGCTTGCAACTCAAGAGTTTGGATTGGCAAAGGACCGAAACCTCTACCGTCTCCCTGTGCCGGCGAATCTTCGGACAGCACAATGCAGTTTGCTTCAAGGCCTGGCATTGAATCTTCTCGCTGAAGAAAGGCAGGGCACTTGCTGCCCGAACAGCACGAGCCTCGCAGACAGAGCCCACGGCTTCATCGAGACTAGAGCAGGCTAGAGAGTTTTCAGGCCATTGATATATATTTTGGGTATGCACGGGGGCGAAGTGAGGTGCAAGAGGGAGTCAGATTGAGGCTTGTGAAACCATGTCTGGAACCCCGAAGCGCGTGGTCAAGCCTCGACTCCGTTCGTGGATTTCCCATTATGGCCATTATGGCCGCATCTGAACTCCAAGCCCAACGATGGAGAAGCCGCGTACAAGTCGGCTCGACTCGAGAAGCAATCTGTCGGCCAACTCGCTGCTGTTCTTCGCCCCTTGTCATCCTTCGGGCCTCGGCAGCGGCGCGCTCCGCTGCTTCCTCCTGGCAGTCGCGTTCCACCCGGCTTCCCTCCCCCAACCACCCGCGTCCCCCCAAACCCCCCTTCGTCGCGTCCTCAAGCTGCCTGCGGCGCTCCCGCATCTCGGCAGGGAGGAGCGCCTTGGCGGCTTCTCTTTGGGGTTTTTGAGAACGGAGCGATGTGGCCGAGAGGCCCCTCCCTCTTCCGCAGAGAGAAACTCCTGCGGGCTGAGCCTCAGCGAGAGCAAACTTTGCCAGGGCGAGATCGAACGCTTGGCGCACTGGGTTCGAGCTCGGGTCAGACTAAACCAACCACATTCCGCCCAAGAGCCTAAAGTGAAGGTGTTGAAGGCAGGAAGAGTTTTCGCGTCTAAGGCGAACCATCGTCCCGAGGGTGAGTGTAGAATCCCATCGAGTTCTTTGGGGCTCTGCATCTGAACGAAAGAGTCTTGGGCGCCCGCTTGCCTTCGAAGAGCTTCGCCACAAGGGGCCGGTTTGCCTGAGGCTTGGCTGTGCTCGAACAGGGCGGTGCCTACGCTGAGAGAGGACAGCGCCTCCAGCCGGAGGCCCTGAAGCAGGCGTCGCAGGCGGGCACCTGGACACAGCGGGCCACAAGCTCCCAGCAGGTCGTACAAGTAAGGAGGCAACTTGGCGCCAGTCTTGCTAGCAATGATCCGCTGCCTCGCTCATTCACTCACTCACCCCCCTGTGGACTCTCTCACCCTCCCTTCCTCCCAAAACCTGCAAGTTTGGCCCAACAGTCTAGGCTCATGGGGAACTTGCTCCCTCCTGAAGCTCCTACAGCCTCATCTCTTGACAATAGGCCAAGGCCCTACTGTAAATTCGGCACCCTCAGCCCTGATCGACGACGAGAGCAAGCCAGCAATCCACCAAAACCGTCACCCTTTCCCTGCAAACAGCCCTCATAAGCTCTCCAAGAAGACCTTTTCTAACCCTCTTGTCCCTGGCTCTGGGCCCTGGGACGGTAGCTGCGCTGCTCGGGGCCCGAGGCCTCACAGAGGCGGAAGCTCGCTGTGGATGTAGGGTGATTGGAGCGAGAGCGGCGAGTAAACTCTCGGAAGCGAGGTCCGCGCGATGTCTTTGTGAGGAGACCCTGCCAAGGCGAGGTACAACGAGAGACGGAGAGACTCAGCTAGCTGAGGTTATAACGTACATCAGGACAGACTGGTCCTTAAAGGGATCCCCATCCTGCGAGCACATACTGTAGCAAGGAGAGGACCACAGCAGTTCCCGTTGAGACCGACTCCGACTCGCCAATGCGGGGATGCCTTCGCTTGCGCCGGCGCCCGTGAGCTTGACTTCCTTCCAGCGACTTCTCCAAGCTCAGAGCTCACCCCATCCCACTGGAGCATCCTTCCTTCCGAGGCTTTCTAGCTTTGACTGCCCGATTGTGATGTTCCACGGCAGGGAAGGCTCCACAGAGCGGTGAGAGTGGGGCAGTTCGTGCGGGGGCTCCCGTCCTCGGAGAGCGCGGTCTCCAGCTGCCAGGCCAGGAACTCGCAGACCCAGGGGTGGCCTTATAATATAATATAATATAATATAATGTAATATATACTTTGCTTTTTTCTACGAGGGCAAGGCAAGGGGCAAGGGGGTGTTCTTTCGACTGGGACTGGGAGGCACTCTCTCGGGGAAATTCCGATCTCGGCCTGTTGGACGCGAGGCCTGGGAGTCCTCGAAGTTCTAAGCCGAAGCCTTTTCTTTCGGAAGCTGATTTCCCCGACCAGCCTACGCGAGAAAAAGACTCGAGGACTCGAGGCTTCGGCAGTTGGCGCTTGGCCCGCTTGGCGCCTGCCACAAGGCCGTGTTTTTATCCAGAGTTTGTGCCCTTGGCCCTTGCTTTCCCCCATGCTGTGCTGCGCTGCCCTGGCCTGGCCTGGGCGCTGAGAGCCTCGTGCAGCACGGCCAGGGCCTGGCGACAAAGCACAGCACAAAGCACTCCCGGCTTCGGGCATTCAGGCCTTCAGAACCGATTTAGGGGGTGCAGAACGCAAAAGACGAAGAGAGATTCCCCCGGACGTGCGGGCGGGTGCACCCGGGCGCGGCCGCAAGCAGGCGCCGCCGCCTCGCTTTTGGGTGCCTGAGCATCTCTCCGGGTGTGCGACTTCCCCAAACGTGGAGAACACGATCTGAACAGTTCCATACTGCCAGCGGTCCAGTTTTGGGCTGAACTGCAGCCAGCGTGCACCGTCGCAAAAGTTGGCAGAACTGCGGCTTTGCCGTTGCTGCAGCGCTGCTCTAAAATCGCTCTGCGGGTGAGAGCGCGGCCTGGGTTGCTCGCATAGCTGGCCCAAACCGGTCTTGCAACTCGACAGAAGTCCGAAACAACCAGAGCGCTCCTTCACATGCACATGTCGTGCATCAGCGCACGTGTCTGGCGGTGTGGATTCCTGAATTCTTCGCCTCGCCCTGACGCCCAGCCATATCCACCATGCACAGAAGTACAGTAGGAACACTCGCAGAAGTCTGTAGTGACAGTGTAGCATCGCTGCAGAAGGGCAGAGTGCCAGAAACGAGGCAAAGATCCTTATATAGAGCTTTAGAGGAAGGCATAGATGAATGAGGCAGTCATATCCGGCATCAAGAAGGCGAGATCTAGACGCACCTCTAACCAGGAGTCGGGAAGCCGTTGCACGCTGACGACCTTGCAGCCCGAAATCGTCTTCTCCAGGAAACTCCGAGAACTTCTTGAGCTTCATGGGGCGAACACAAAGCACTTCCGGTGGGAGAGCTGAGCAATCAATCTTCATCATGAGCTTCATGCCCTTCTTGCCTTTGCTGCGCCAGGTCCTCTCGGCAAAGGTCGCTGCGAGGCCTTCGCTTTGGGATGTGGAGGTGAACGCCCTGAAAAAGATCAAATCGTCTTTGCTGCTCTCGTATTGCGCCACCTCTTCGTCACGAATACACATCGCACGGAACACCGTGCCCGAAAAGGTAAGAGATGCATCCACGGTGGCTGCTTTCTGCATCGCAAAAAGAAAAGCCTCTGCAAGCTTGGCAAGTTTCAGCAAGCCCTGTGTCCTCTCCTTCGTGCGTAATGCCGAGTTCAAGGTATCATAGATGTGACTGACCTCTTGTGTGTAGACGTTGAGCAGATCTGCGTACTTGCCATTTGCTGGATCGAACTTCTCTGCCAAGCAAGCTAGCTCGCTCTCAGATGCATTGTGGTGGCTCTTCCTGTCCCGGAGCTCAAGCAAGTATGCGACCGCCTCACGGAAGGAGACCTGCTCCACAAAGTCATGCACAGCAGAGTGCACATACACTTGCTGCGCTGCCTCGATGGAGGCTTTGAGAGTGTCCGCCTTGATGAAGGCAAGCCGCGGGGTCTCAGGCGCCTTCGCAAGCCCTTGCACGACGCCTTCAATGTTCGTATGGATGCCAGCAATCTTCCCACACGGGGCACAGTTCCCCAGAAACCAAGGCTGGCGCTTATGGTAAGCCACGTCTCTGCAGAAGATGTGCACAAGGTTGACATTGGGAAGCTTGCAAATGAGAGGTACCAGGTCCTTGGCCTTTGACCCAGAGCTGATGACCGTGAAGGCAGTGAGGGGGCTCTGCCGCAACACCTCAGCAGCCTCAGCGAAGTGCTGACAGCAGACCAAGTCCGGATAGGTCCCCTTGAGCTGTGATCGATACCTCTCATTCTCGTCATTGCCAAGGTGCGGGTCATGCCACAAAATGTTGCGGAAGGGCACATATTGCTTTGCTGCCTGGGCTTGCACAGCCAAGCTGTCTGGCTCGGGAGATGTTACAGCCGGAACATTTGTAGAAGGCCCGCCGGGCAGTGAGGCTGGCGAAGGCGAAGGCAAGCTCAAACCCGAAATGTGCTGGCTTAAGAGACGCCTTGCCCACCGCACGAGGCGTAAAGGAGCAAGGGTGGGTTGGATCCTGTCAACGAACTCATCCACGAACTTGCTTCGCTCTGAGGACGCCTCCCAGCATAGCTGTGTGCCCGCCAACCGCAGCAACTGGTGCCACAACCGAGGCGGCAGCTGCTCCAACACCACCGCCGACGCCACCGAGGACTGCCATACCCACTACCACGAGACCCGCAGCAGCTAAGTTCTTGCGAAACTGCTCCATCTCTTCGTCCTGCACGGCTTTCTGCAGTTCCGTACGAAGCAGGCCAAGGTCGTGCCTCAAGGGTTCAAGCAGATGGTGACTCAAAGCCACGCTGCCATGAGCTTGACTCGCGCTCCACTCAGTAGTCAGTTGCTGCTCGATTCTGCTCACCATGTCATCAATTGCCTGGCCAAGCTCCCGGGATACGAGAATCGGCAACTGCCGTTCCTTGACTGAGTGTAACTTTAAACCATAACCAAACCCTTCGGGAGTGCTTTATGTCCCTCTCTCTGTCTTCGGCTTTTACAGAAAACTATAACAGCAAAGATTCCACGTGTTGAAACATCTGCCGGCGATACTTGGATTTCATCACGTAGTTGTCAGCATCGATGCTGCGGCATTCATCAAGGGTCCACTTGTGCAGCTGTTTCTTCGAGTATGTGGCTTCCACTTTCTCCTCGAAGAGATCTGCTGCCCCGTGAGCAGCCTCTTGCACCATCTGGCTCCAAGTCTCCGGGGTTAATCCACTGCTGGTCAGCATTGAGGCGAATCAAAACTACAAGCAAGGCAAATCCTAAGGGCAAAGCTTTCCCAGCTCGAACCAGCACAGCTCTGGCACTGCCGACGCAAATCAAAAGCGAACTGCACTTCGGCGCCAGCGCGCACGGCTTGCGCTACCGCTGGGGCTCAGGCAGAGTCGGGGCCGAGGAGCTGAGAGGCCATGGCGCCATTTGAAGCGAACTTCAACCAGGAACCAATGGGGGCTAACCGTCGCTTCACTAGAGCGATGCAATGCTGTTGCCCAGAGGAGTTGGAACATCTTTTGGGCTGACGGCATTCCAGGTCTCAGGTCTGACTTCGTTTGGCTGCGGTGGTTCGGGTGTTGTCCTCGAAACTCCGCCAGACTTGTCCTGTGTGGCTGTTCCAAATGAAAAGTTTGAACGTCTGTCCTTTGCTTGTACATCCCTCTTCTCGTTTGGCTGTCTTGATGGCGCCCGCGAAGACCTTGAGTCCCAGAGCTGGGCTCGCCTCGACTAGAGACATGCACCCAGCAAGTTGACATATGGGCTCCGACATGAAGGCGTTCTGCTATCATGCCCATGCCCGGGAGCCTGAACTTTAGTGCACTCGTCGCTCGAAGCGGAGACCGCCGCTGCATCCGCACCTGCTCAATTGCGGTCCGCATGTGAAAGGGAAGGAGATAGAGCAACCTTGCTCTTCAAGGCCATGTCTTTTCCAAAATCCGAACTGTGCAATTTCCTCCCTCGCCCAGCTGCTACGAGGACCTGTAGGCAGACCATGAAATCGATTCACCAGGCCGAAGCAGCTACAATCGGTCGAGGGAGGTTTTTAGGGAATCTTAAGACACATGCAATGAGGTGTTTGCCCCTTGCCCTTGGAGTCCCGTGTCTCCCAAAAATCTGCACCAACTGGCCTGGTGCCGTGCAGCTGGCGAATTGAGCCTTGCGCAGCAACAACCAAGGAACAGCGAAGTTCCGCTGCGCAATTGACTTGGAGAGGTCCGCTGGAAGATCTCAGGAGCTTGCAACGATTACATCCCCCACAGATGCCATGAAAGGATGGAGCCAGGACATCCTACGATGTCTTAGGCGGAAGGAATTTGGAGGGAGCCGGGAGCCCTAGAGACTCAGGAGACGATGAGTTTCTGCGGCAGGCTCCCAGGTGCTGAAATCTGCTGGGGCGGCCGCCTTCATCGACATTTGCTTCAAGGCGAGGTTCACCTGCGAACCGGTTTGTGGTTTGTGGGGCCGATTCAACGACTCAAACGGTCTGCGGAGGGCATTTTGCGCCCAGAAGAGTGCAGAGCCCTGCACGAATCATGGGAAACTCTTTGCAGCTGCACGGGGTCTGCGGCTGCGACAGCTCGCCTGGTCCGGTGAGAGGTCCGCCACGCGCTCCACTCGCGGGTCGCCTGGGCAGCTCTCTGCTCTCTGAGCCTTCGGATGATGCCAGTCGGCTGGGAGGTCTGACGGGGGCGTTTCAGGGAAGAACAAAGGCGCAACCTGCCAAGGCCGCAGCTGATTTCCAGGAGGCACTGCTCCAGCGCCTCTTCGAGGACCTGGGCTCGGAAGAAAAAGCAGAGAGAGCTGAGAAGCGGCGCTTTTAAAGTAAGAGCCTCAGAGAGCTCTCTGCAGGTTCTCTAAGGGAACAGAAGAGCCCTCAGAGAGGGCTTCTAGGGTCTCATGGTCTCATGGCCCGCCCGGCCTGCAGGGGATGCTTGGAGAAGACGGCCTGCAACCGAGGACTGGCTCTTCAGACATTCTGCAGGGAGACGCGCGAATGCATGGATGCAACCGCAGCTAACCACAGCTAAGAAGGGAAGAGCGCTCGGGCGCTGGGCGTCGCCTGGAAGAGGCCGCTGCCGGAGCTCGGGTTCAGCAGGCCGCCCTGACACTCGGCTTCTCTCCTCCCTCAGTTCCTCAGTTCCTGTCTTTGCTTTTACATTTGCATGCCTTTACATGCTCCCGTTCCTCAGGGCCGAAGCTCGCACACGGCTGGCCCTTCGCGCCTCGGCAAAGAGCCCCGAGAGCACGTTCAGCACGGCGCCTCCCCGGAGGTCGGACCTGAGCCGAGCCCGAGGCTCCCAAGCGGAGCTGCAGCCAACAGGAGCTGCCAACAAACCACAGAGGGGGGGCCCCGGAACTCCCCCCCCCTCCCCCTTCTTTAGCCTGGAATGTGCTGCCAGGGGCGAGCAGCATGTCGTAGGCGGTGTCTTTCGGGATCCCTCCAATGGCCGCATGCCGCATAAGTGCCGCACGTGGCGAGCGTCTCCGACGGAAGCAGCAGCGTCTCTGCGCAACCTGGCGTGTTGATTTGCACAACGAGGTTCCTTTTTTGATGGCAACGTACACCGAACATGCGATATCAGCAGAGGGTCCGCGCGAGACCTTGTCAGACTGCTAGCAACAGCACGTCGCAGACGTAGCAGAACCAGGCACCGGCGGGCCTTGCTCCAAAACCAGCATGCAATGCCGGCCTCCCAGCTGGCCTGTTCTGAAGAATCTCGGGTCGCTTCAGAGAGATGCTTCCCTTCGTCGAGGGACCCTGGTAATGTAGGAACCTGATTAAGAAACCCTGGGCCTTTATTAGGGCTCCTTATATGAATCTTACTATTTGTGGTTGTAGGGCCAGGGTTTCTTAATCAGGTTCCAGCATTACCGATTGCAGCCCTGACTTCACCGGGCTCCCTCCCCAGCCTGCCACCCATTGCTTGATTGCCTGGCGCGAGTTCTCTGACCTCACAGGCTCAGAGGTCTGCCGAAGCAGGGAGGGCCAACAGTGCAGGTAGTCAGTGCCAAGACCCACAAAGAAACTTGGGATGCAACTTGGGATGGAAGGATAGAGGTTCAGGGCTTACAAGTGGGCGAAGACGCAAGGATCATCGGCGACAAGGTTACAAGATCCCAAGCATCAAGAAGACCCATGCTGACGTTGCCACTCTGAAAGAATCTGGGACACCTACCTACAACCTACATTACCTAATGTAGGGGCCTAAAATAATTACCAATACCATTTTGGGAGTTCCGTATTATAACTATAGTATAATGGGCNNATTCTAATTCTCAAGGCCCCTACACCTACCAGCAGGAGATCCCCAAAGCCGGGGCCCCCAGCAAAGAGCCCCAGTCCAGCTCTGCGGCCGCCTCGGAGGCCTCTGTCAGAAGGAGAGAGAAAGAAAGGCCCTTTCTCTCAGTAGGGATCCCCGTGAAGTACCCTACTTGATAATCATAATAATACTACGAATAATAATAAATAGTACTAATAATCATACTCATAACAATACCCTAATTTTAATTTAAGAAAGGCCCAAAAACTTAATCTGCTTCTTTCACTCCTTTGTCTTTCCAAGCAGCCTGATGGGCAAAGATCTTGCGAGCTTCTGGCATGCTGAACTCACAACTCTAAGCATCTTCGCATAGTTCGGATCGGAATCCGCACAGTGACTCCGCCTTTCCTTTCTCCAGAGCCCCCCGAGCCACCGTTCATCCACGGTTGAGGTGTTACTTGGAGCTGTGGCAGCACTCGTGGAAGTCTGACCGTTGCCCATAAGGTTGATCCCGATGTCAAGACACATAGTACGAACGGACATCATGTGAGTAGAATGTGGCTGACACATGTATCCACCAACCAAAAACTACAAACAGCACAGGGACAGCACAGATGGCTGGAGCACGGCCTGGGCGGCACCGCGGAGCGCCAGGGGCTTCTGCCTGGAGTCTCCGGGCTACACCGTCTACAACATGCCACATGCCTAGCCCTTCCCAAACAAATGCAGCGACGGGACAAGTGTCCAGAAAACCCCGATCCGAGTTCAAGTTGGTGTTAGAGCTGGAGCAGAGCTGATGCGGCAGGTCAGGCGCAGACAGCAAGCAAACAGCAACAGCTTTGCACACTACACGAAACACAAACAAACAAAAGAGAAAAACATTCCTGCTTGTACCCCCCCCCCCCCCCCCCCCCGCGCCCCCCGGGGCATGACACTCCCACTTCCGGCGGCGCCTGGGCGCTTCGCTCCGCCGCTCCTCGAGTCGGCGCTCGCCGCGGCCTCTGGCCTCCACGGAGTACCGTAGCAGAAGACTACGCTGAGATACGCTGAGTTTTTGCGGGAGTGGCGTCGACGGGCGGGTTTCGGGTGTGTTTGGGGTCTCTCGGGCGTGGATGAGGCATTGGATCATTGGACGCAGACAAGGTCAGAGTCTATGCGGATCATAGCCTCCCTGCTGGAAACCTCTGCAATGCTGCCTTTGCATCCCCGCCCCTCTGTGCCTGAATGGAATCTGGGCGAAGCCACTGCTGCATGACCTGCGGGGGAAGTTTCGATCTTCGGTGCCAACACTGGGATCGTGTCGTGCAAAACGCTGCGCAGCTACACGGCATCAAAAGGCACGGCGCGGTGCCCCAGAGTCCAGACGAGGCGAAGTCCTATGACTTTCAAGCCGCCTCCGCGCGCCCCCGCGGCTGGACAGCGCCGAGGCCTCAGGCCCCAAATCCCCAAACTCACGAAGAGGGAGTTCTTTTTTCAAGTCCGTAGAGAGCGACTTCGGAAGTAGTCGGGAAAGAGGGCGAGTCAGGACTTCCAGCTGGGCCTGGTCGCGCGTCGTCGTCTTCTGGCTCGGAGTAGAGCGCCTGAGGAGGGACGGGCTGAAGCCGAAAAACAGGAGACCGAGAATATATCCGAGGATGCTGACAGCGTTTATAGTTTAGGGCCGTTGAGGATTTAGGAGAATATCCGAGGATGCTTAGGGTTTAGTTTAGGGTGGTTTAGGCTTTAGGTGTTCCACCGAGGCCCTTGCGACTTCGTCGACCATGGTCGGCACGCTATAATCGCGCTGGAGGGAACCTGCTCGGCAAAGAGCGCCGACGCCCAACGTGCGCCGCCGCTCCCGCCCTCCCCCCCCCCCCGGATCTTTCTTAGCCCACAAGCCTGATTTTGAAGATCAGCTACCGAAGCCTGGTAGTGTCCCCTACCTAAAGTGCAAGGCTGACCCTCCAGCTTCGTTGCAGGATATCTAGTTTATC